ATCCCGAAAGAATCCCACATGTACACATTGATTTCGTCCTAAAAGCTGAGCAGGAAGTGCGTGACTTGCACATTTGCACCGATGGACTGCGCCAGAAGGCCCAGGAGGCCACGAAAGTGTTGGGGCTTGGTTGCGCTGGGTCCTTGGGGCGGAAGTTCCGTTAGAAGTTATAGGGCTTCAGGAAACCCTAAACCCTAAACCCTACAGTAAACCCTGGCATGTCAACCCTCGCCTGAGCCTCAGGTGCCCATGGTGAGAGTCGAAGGCTTCCAATGCCAATACTATAGAGAGGCCTTAATAGTTGCCTATACTATTCTGGGGTTCCTCATTATAATTATGTCATATTTTACGCCAAAACTCTACTCTAATTATTAAATTAAAGCCCCCATATTGCCTTTCCCTTATCATGGTTGCGAACAAACGAAAATCCACGAAAAGCCCTTAACAGGAGTTCTGAGAAGTCTCTCGCAACCTCCAAGCGAGGCCTGGACGCAGCCACGAGTGCAGCAACCTTTGCATGCGGCGTGATCCCAGACTTTGAGGTGAGCTTTGCAATGAGGTTAGGGAAGATTTGCGAAGGCACCGCCATGTCCTGCAACTCTATTTGACGAACCAACAGACTTGATTGAAGCTTGCGAAGGCGTCGTTGAAGGCATTGCCCAAGTGCAGAATTTTGCCTTCACTACGGACTGGATCGCTTGGCAGCGCTATTATGGCACCGAAGAGGCAGGGTAGGGGGCACATCGGCGCCACAAGAACTGCCAAATAGACGTGCCGTGAAACCTGAGGCCCAGGATTCTTGTGCTGACTACACGGAGGGTGCCATGTGGAAGGACCGAGGGTCATGTTTTCTTAGCCTCGTAGACATTGCCCAGCAGCTGTACAGACTGGAACGTGTTGATTCCCTGTGAGACTTTCTGTGACATGCACTGCATCGAAGACGCGGTGCTGAAGGGCAACTCGGCAATCCTCAAGTCTATGAAAACCCAGGAGACGCACGTTGTGACAACGCTGCACGACATGCTGAAGTGGTACACCACGGAGCTGTTCGACAAGCTGAAGGAGACCCAGGAACAGAGTTCCCACAACTTCAAGGAGCAAGAACGAGTAATGAAGTCTTACTTCGAACAGATGGCGAACATGCAGACTGACTATGCGAACCAAGCCAACACTCAGATCGACCAGCTCGGCGTGGACATCAATCAGCGCTTCGATGAGAACGTGGTCAAGCCACTGAATGTTCTGCAGCAGCACTTGAAGATCATGAATGACAACTTGCTGAGCCTGGGCACTTGGCTAGGCAATCAAGATGTCTTTGCGAAGGAAGGAGGCGGTTGGACACCACCAACATCCGTTCTCAGCAGCCTGTCCAACTTGCCTGGGATGCCTCCACATGCGGAGGTGCAAGAGAACTTCGGGGCAGCTGAGGCGGCCTTGGAGGAGCTTCTGATAGAGCTTCATAGGTCACCTGCCTTTGACGAGGACAAGGTGATGCCCATATTGTCGAAGCTCAGGAGCCAGATGAGGCACCTGCATAAAGCATTGCTTCAGTCCCCAGCAAGCTCACCCAACGCAAGCCACGCAGTGATGCGGCTCATGCGAGACGCTCAAGCTCAAGTGAAGGCCTTGCCAAAGGAGAGCTTTCCAGAAACCTTCAAAAGGCGCGTGACTGCCCAGCTGCGGCCTGCGGTACGACGTTGGCAGAATCAAGCTCGGGTCGTGGCTACCGTCGCTTCAAGCCTCTCCAGCCTCTCCCTCTCACAGTTCGGTGTCACCGCCAACACTGGAAAGCAGCAAAGCGTTGACTTGCGTGAGTACGAATACCAGAAGCTGATGACGCTCATCCACCGCGACGTCAGCGTCTTACTTCCCCCTGCTGGCCCTTGGGCGCCCTGTTTGTTCCAGGGCGTGTGAGATTGTGCACAGCTTGCCACTGCCTGTGACCACCTGAGTCTTGAAGGTGAGCGACTACTACCAGAAGGCCAGCCTCCATGTCAGCGCCCACAAGGAGGCTCTGCTGCACCTGCTCTCCCAGAACGCGACTCAGGGTTGCGAGCCCAGTGTCATCGAGGCCCGGTAGAGGAATCTGAGAGCGGAATTGCTCTACATCTTTGGGCTGACAGGCTGGTCGGCTCCTGGCAGAGATGCGTCGAACTGAGGAGGCCTCATGTTTGTGACTTCAGAACTTTGTGAAACGGCCTTTTCGGGCTCATAGCCTCTGAAGGTCCACGTAATCTCGCTGCTCAGCACCTGGCGTTCCCTCGCACAGAACTTGGACTTTTTGGCCAACCTTCTCGTAGACGGCGACCTGATCACCTCGCAGCTTTTCGCAGCCGCCTCCCTCGAGCCAAACACCACAGAGCAGGCGCTTCAATCAGCCAGCTCCAGCTCAGAGTCTCCCCAGCTCGTGCAAGTCTTGCCCTTGGTCGAAGCAGACCTGGCGCGCACAATGACAGTCAAGATGCTTCCCTTTGTGCAACAAGTAGCTCAAGCCTTCGACCTTAGCCAGCTCCTGGCTGATATGTGGGTCCACGGCTCCATGGAGGTTCCTGACACAGAGCTTCGACTCCTACAAAACGCTTGGGCCAGGGCAGCCCAGGCTGCCAGCCTGTTGGAGACTTCGTCCTCTCAGTCTTTAAAGCCGTCTTTGCCCTTTGCTGTGCTGCGATCCGCCATGGACAAGGCAACTGGGCAGTCCTGGGTAGCTTTGGACTTGTCCTTACAGTGCGCGATCGCTGCCTCCGGCCAAATCGTAGAAATCGAGAATCCTCTTCATTGATGAACGAGTGTCGGAAACCATCTGCCGCAGAGTCTGTGTTTTGTTTCAGCCACTTTGCGCATTGTTCAGTGATGTTAACTTGAAGCACTGTAACACTGCTTTAAGAGTTTCGGGGCGTTCAAGCAGCAAGCTCTGGGTCAGGATTGGTAAGCTGCTGGATGCCAGAGCGAATCCGTCTCCTTCTGGCTCAGCTGAGGAGCCACACTTTTCAGTCGATGTACGAGGCGGTCAAAAGATCCATGAACAACAGAAGCGAGCACTGCCAAAGATCGGACGGCTGGATGCATCCGCAACTCTCATGTTAGCCGCAACTGTACATTTCCTATGCCACTACACCGCGTGCGAGATAGCCCCCCGATGCCCAGAGCCAATCCTGAATTCCGCTTGGGATTTTGGCGGTTGGCCTGCATGGATCGGGACATGGCACGGTGTGGTCCGGTTGCAGCTTGGGCGCGTAACAGTGTAGCGGGCTACAGCGGTGTACCGGTTTGCCGGCGCTTGAGTCCTTGCTGATACTCTGGTCCGCTGGGGGCATGGTGCTGTGCTTGTGCGGTCCTGGTCGGGATTTGGGGCAAAGTTTTTTGCCCCACAGGATGCTGGATTTCTTCACATTCTCGCGTGCTTCGGAGAGAAGATGCATTCTGCATGGATCCACGCTCTGTCAGCATTCTGGGGACCACAGTCTCGGAGCCATGAGGCCTCCAAGATGTTCACGCTAGCGTGCCGTACTCTCCGAAACGATATGTGTTCACGGAATTTGGCACGTGCGATGCACGGTCTTCTTCTGAGAGTGTGCCATGATTCTCAGCGCTTGCAAACGGGTTTTTTGCGCACACTCCAGTCCAGGACACGCTTCCAAGCTCCGCATGACAAGTCCTCAGAGCATGCAGGTATCCCATATCCGAGATGTGCGAAAGGCTTCCGTGGTCCAACTGCAAAACGGTCACACGCCGATGCTGCATGCAAAATGACGCCTTGCAGCACGTGTACACCGACACTTGATCGATGTGTCTCGCGCTTGTGCGGGTCTTGCACTTGAGTTTTCAGTTTTGCTTGGCCCTGCGCATCTTGCAAACTGCTGACATTTCTACTGTGCTGTACTGCATGTTCTGCAGAGTTTTGATATTTGAGTGACACTGTCGAGTTGAAGTGAAGAATCAACTACTTGTAGCACTTTCTCCTGTGAGCTCGTCCCCAGAGGCACTTCCAATGGCCGTGTTCCAGGTGCCGGACATCTGCCGCGATGGCAGGAGCTGGACGCTCTGGCAGCTTCTGTCAGGCAGAGGCTTTCTTTCTTTTAGCACACGGTCAGCTTTAGGACCTGGCCGCAGGCGAGGCTATCATATTGGATGAGAAGAACTTCTTCTACGCCTGCAATCTGACCACTGGCCGGCTCAGGGCCTACCAAGGCCACTGCCAGCCAGAGCTTGCAACCTGAATAAAATGGCTGCATGTGGTGTCTGAGTGCAGGTCACAACAGCTCCATTATGCTCGATGCGTTTCTCGCTCTGCATCAACAATTTCACCGGCGAGTGGCGTGAGCTGTTCCAGGCCGCCGGCAGACTGTCACCAGCTTAGACGAGGAAAGTTTACTCTAGAGCGATGCCAAGCGAGTGTCAATGTGAACCTAACAAGTATGCTGGTAGACATCTATGACAGCGAGTTTAGAATGCACCTGGGAAGTCAGGTCGTTTGCGTGCTAACATTTTCATAGCATCTCAACTACAGTGCTCTTGCATGTGTGTGTATACATAATGACAAGAAATCTCAAAACCGGCGAAACCAGGACTAACCTGGTGAACAAGGCAGTGTCTGGAATCAAAAAGCGCGGATGGAAGATGCATGGGAGCCTCACTCAGCGATGTACAGAGATTTTGAGTGGCAAGGCCAAGGCAGTCAAGTAAGGCCGCATGTGTAGGGATGAGGTTACTAGCTAGACTTAGCTAGATAATCTAATAATTGGGGTCATAAAGTCGAGTATGTGGATTTCCGGCCAGGATGAAACCACATGCATCAGATCACATGTGATTATGAACCCAGAGCAGAGCAAGATGCAAGCACCCGGGCTTGTGGAGCTTGGCTGTTCGACGAATCCGAGGCATGGAAAACATCGGTGGTGAGATCGGGCTTTCGTCTTTCAAGAACGACTTTCAGAGGGTCACATAAGAAAGGAAAAGTCATTTCGATCCTAGTCGCTAGGAAATCATGAGTACATTAAATAATTAATGTTAGATAGCATCGTAAATAGTAGTAATCTTACGGACCCTACCATGACCCTTTCAAGCGGTTTATGGCTGGAGGTTCAACGAGTCAATGTAGTGGCCCGTCTACATCGCCTAGGCCATGCAGCCCCGGCAACTTATGCGGCTTATGTTTAGTTATGTGACATTGTACATTGCAATATTTCGACATAACCCAGATGTTGACATGCATCTGTGATGTAGTGGGTCATCTTCTTCTGTTGTTATTGGCTCTCGTCTCGTTTCAGGACGAAGGTTGTATGAGAAAGGCACATTGGCAACCGGCAATAGGAGCTTGGGCTTTCAACTTTGAGGAGGGCAAAGATTGGGCATTTCGGTATTCGGATATTAGTGATTTTCTTTCACAATTGAGATGTGTCCCTTCAGTTCTACTTGAGACATGTTACGGTTTCGGGGTATTGCTCTTTGAGATTTGATTCGATCTCGATGAAAAGAACTTGTGGGTTCTGTAGTGTTTTTGCCAAAGGTAAGCATTAATCTATGGGGGGGGGTCAGGTTTGAGGCCCAGATAACTATTATTTTATGGCTGCGATAACCCTTGTTCCGAGATAATTGATATTTTATGGTGGCGACAATAAATATTTTATCCGAGACAATTATTATTTCATAATAATTAGTTCATCTTAGAGAAATCATCATTTGATGATAAGGATAATTATTATTTTATCTTAGGGATAGCTATTATTTTATGGTCTGTAAATTTCTTATAGAATTATTATTTAAAGAAATTTTAATATATATTTAATTAATTATATATGGATATCTAAGAAAGATTTTTTTAGAATTAATTTTGAAGATAGATAGGATTGTCTTCTTAGTTTGATTATAAAAATAGAGAGAGAGGTATTGAATAATTATTGGTATTCTGATTTTTAATTAAAATCTTTTTTCTGTATTTTCTCGATACGTTTGGTAGTATCCTGATAATCGATCGAATTATAATATCGATACGATTGTATTTTATTTCTGTTATATTCGGCTTATATTATCGTAAAGTTTGTTTCTATTTTTTTTCTTCTCGCGGCTTCTAATATCTTAATTGATATTTAGAATATGAGCTCGCCTAGTCCCCAAGTCGGAATTGATATAAGTAGCATCTTATTTTTAATTATGTACGTTATGAGAAATAAGGTATAATGAGAAATCTCGTAATCTTCGATATATATAGTATTTTTATTTCTTGTTAATACGATAGCAAAATTATAAATAGCCGAGGTAATTATACGAAATGAAGTCGTCTTAATCTTTAATCGCAAAATTTTACCATTGTGCATAGAAGACTGCTAAAAAATATATGAAAGATTGGCGATGAAGTAGATTAGCAGTATTGGTACCACCCCAAGAAATCTAAAACTTTCTATTGGAGTGCTGGACCACGACGGCCTGGCGGCACGGGTCGGCATGGTCGTCGCCGCTCCGATTCTCGCCTAATTTGGCAGGTCCTAAAACCCTAAATCGTGAGTCGTAAGGCCTCTCTCCCCTCGCGCGTGCGGTATGCGAGCCATCAGTATTTTTATGGCCACTGATCATATTTCTTTTCTCATAAATTGAAGCCATTGGAATCGCGTCAAAATGATATCAAATTCATAATATCGATAGGATTGGTATTTGATTTCTATTATGCGAGATCGTTTCTTTATTATGCCCTGAAGACTGCTCCCACAGACCCCCGCAACGGATCTGAAAATCTCCAGCTTGATGCTCAAAAACTCGCCCGCCCGCCCGATGTCCAAATCTCGTCTGAAGCTATTATAAGCAGCATATTGAACGATAAATATAATGGAAATAAAGCATATTGGGAATAAACGAAATCTTGTCAATTTCAATATCATCGCCTCTTTTTAAAGCGATAAAATAACTCAAATAATCGAGATAGTCACGCGAAATATGATCGTCCCAATGCTCAGTCCAATATGCTCACAAGATCGTATTATAGGGAAGACGGAGGATGAAGCGGGTCGCCGGGATTGCTGCCCAATCCGGATTTAAGGGCTAATATCCTTGCCGCCGACCCCCTTTTTATGATAAAATTAAATCAAGAAAAATAGAATTTCGGGGTGGGGGGAAAGCGTGGGAAAAAGAAAGAACAGGTATAAAGCACGGAAAATGAGGAGAGATAGATAGAGAGTAAGATCGATAGCGCAAAAACCCGGACCATATATAAATAAGTAATTAAATATTGAATAGATCAATAAATGAGCAAATAGATAAATAAATAAAGAAGTATATAAATCAATAAGCAGATAAATAAAAAGATTTTTGGATAAATAGATTAATAAAATCATAAATAAATAGATAGATAGCTAGATAAATAAATAGATATTAAATAAATAGATAGATAGATAAATAAAGAGATAAATAGATCAATATAGAGAGATAGAGATAGAGATCTATGCAAAGATAGATAGAGATATAGAGAGAGACAGAGAGAGAGAAATTAAGATAGATAGAAAGAGACGCAAGACAGAGACAGACGGATACAGACAGAGACAGATAGAGACAGATACAGACAAACACAAACAGACCCAGACAGACGACAGACGCGCCGATTGACACACTGACAGACAAACAAACATACAGACACTCAGAGACACACACACACACACGCACACAGACACACAGAGAGACGCCTGCATTCAGCAAGCGCGGCACTGGAGCTCGCGGTGCTAAAATTTCGTGATATTCCCGCGAGCATATCCCAAACATTTCGGAAATCTTATGAGCACCAGCATGCCTACCAAAAATTTCTAAAATTTCCTTGCCGGGAGCATATCCCCTTGAAGCTACCAAACTTTCTGAGTTTTTAATATCGCGAGATTTCCTAGAGCTACCAGAACTTCTGAAATCTTAGTTCCAAGAGGCAAGAGCTCGCGATACCAAAATTTCCGGAATTTTAGTACCGCGAGACAAGCACGCAAGAGGCTTTCAAGAGGAAATGCGTCGAAGGGCGAAATTACAGGGAGTCAGGGGCGCACACGGAATCAGAGGCGCAAGCAGCACGACACCGTTTTATTAGAGAAACTAAATTTGAATTATAGATTCATTCTATTTTCATCATATAAGTTTAACTGAGTATAGAAACAATATATATCTTATTCATTTATTTCGACGAACTATTTTATCAAATAGAAAAGTTTTGTTTAAAATCGAGTATCCAGTATTTAGTATAGTTGAAGTTTGCTCATAGTATGCTAGGTATATTCATCTTCTATTTCTCCTAATAGATAATCATCTTATAAGAAGTTAATTCGATCTATTAGTTCTTGAGAAATCTAGACCTGAATCTCAAAATATCCCCTTGATTCGAGATAAAATCTCGAAGCATCCGTTAGATTTAAGTTCAAGATGCAAATCGGTTTAAAGCCAACCGTTATCGAATACGACTAGCGCATTCGTACAAGGATAGTCTATATGTATATATATATATATACGTAAATATGTATATATGTGTGCGTGTCTATATATATATATATGGTAACCCC